CAGGAGTTGCCCCAGAGCACAGGAACTCCAGGGAGACTGCGACCAGAAAAGCCCCTGCCTCCCTCGAGAGGCACAGAGGATCGCCCCGGGGGGCCACAACCAGCAGCCGGCAGAGTCCCAGGAGTTATCGGCGGCAAGCCCACAGGCCCGCCCGCAGCCTCCCACCCCCTAGCCGGCCGAGCCCGGGCCCCAATGACCCGGGCCCCAGGGGCGACCAGCCCCGCCGGGGACCCAGCAGAGCCCAGGGACCCAGACCCCACCAGGCAGCTACTGGGATTGGTCAGGCAGATGCCAAAAATCTTTAACTCCTTGACCCGGGAGCCACGACCCAGGCAGACCAAGGCACCACACTCCACACTAGGTGTGGCAAAGAGAGGGGAGACGAAGATCTATATCACCAAAAGAAGTCCCAGGTGAAGGGAGGAGTCAAAGGCCCCACCTGACATATACAATCATACACAAACACAGTCACACACTCCCTCCCTCATGCTCACACACGCACATACAACCTAAGACTTACAAAAATGCATGCCGGACACCCACTCATGCTCCCCATACACACCCTATTCACTCTGGTCCCGGTACTGCTGCACATGGGGTACAACCATCACCGGTTCCCAGAGTTCGACCCTTTCTGCTGGGGTGCTGATAATAATAATAATAATAATAATGCATTGAACTTATATAGCGCTTTTCAAGACCCCCAAAGACGCTTTCACACACTCTCACATTCACACACTGCTAGTGATGGTAAGCTACTTGTAGCCACAGCCGTCCTGGGGAGGTCTGACAGAGGCGAGGCTGCCATTTGGTGCCGTCAGCCCCTCTGACCACCACTAACACAGGCAAGTTGGGTGAAGTGTCTTGCCCAAGGACATAACAGCAGGATACCCCTGGTGGGAGCTGGAACCAAACCCATGACCCTCCGATCATGAGGCAACCCGCTCTACCACCTGAGCTACTGATGAGCAGGCTCCCCCGCCCAACGCTGAGCACAGCAATCCACCACCCCAGACCCCAACCGGACGGCCGAATCTATAATTAATGCAACAGGTACACTAGTAGTAGCACATTCAATATTAGCATCAGTGTGCTAGCCGATGGCCCCCTCCATGAGGCCACCACAGCTCAGCAGAACATCATTGTAGCTTCTTCTGGGGAGAAAAACACTTAGAGAGAAAATAAAGTTAACAGCTGAAATAGCAGGAAATAATACAGTTAAAGAGCAGATTGTAGAATAAAGTAGTAGAGTGTGGACATTGGTTAGTATGTCCTCCATCATTCTAAGCCCATAGTAGTATAACTACAGAGATAAATCTGGATAACCTAGCATTTTAGATAGAGGCATGTTGGAGGCAGGGCAAGGGAGAGCCGTCTTTATGGACTGTATTCTCCACTGTACACTTCACCTCTTTCTACTCCCCCACTTGTCCAGATCTGGGCCAACATCATATTTTAACCATAGGCCCTATCAAATAAAAATGTTTTAAGCCTAGTCTTAAAAGTAGAGAAGGTGTCTGCCTCACGGACTAAAGCTTGGAGCTGGTTCCACAGGAGAGGAGCCTAAAAACTAAAAGATCTGCCTCCTATCCTATTTTTAGACATTCTGGGAACCACCAGTAAACCTGCAGTCTGAGAGCAAAGTGCTCAGTTAGGAAGGTATAGAACAATCAGGTCACTGATTTATGACATACCATACCATACCACCTTTATTTATATAGCACTTTAAAAACACAGCCAAACGGCCGACCAAAGTGCTGAACAGTCACACAATAACAGAGATAAAAACATAGAACAGAGCAATAAAATGCAATTAACAGATAAGAAACAAGCCAATAAAAAAGCTCAGATAAAAACCTCACAACAGTTCCGATAGAAAACCATTACAATGGATGATAAAATAAGAGTAGTAAAAACCAAAATAACAGCTAACTGTTAAAAGCAAGGGTAAAATAGTGTGTCTTTAGCCTAGACTGAAAAACTGCCAAGGAAGATGCCAGTCGAACTGCGGCTGGAAGTTCGTTCCACATTTTAGGACCGGCAACAGAGAAAGCTCTTTGTCCGCATGATTTATAACATACTTTTGGAACCTCGAGGAGCGACAGGCTAGAGGCCTTGAGTGTGCGACCGGGAGTATAAGTCGCAAGAAGATCAGAGAGGTACACGGGGGCAAGACCATGGAGGGATTTGAAGACAAAAAGCAATATTTTCTATTGGACCCTGAAAGTGATGGGCAGGCAATGAAGGGATTTTAGAACCGGAGTTGTGTGCTGGCGCCTGTCAGTACGTGTGAGGAATCTTGCCGCTGCGTTTATGACGAGTTGAAGTCTGGCAAGAGTTGACTTGACATCCAGCAATATTGCGTTTGAATAGTCGAGCCTAGATGTGATAAAAGCATGAACAACTTATTCCAAATTTTTCCTAGATAAAACTGCTCTTAATCTGGACTGACGGCGGAGTTGGAAAAAACAGGATTTTACGGTGGCATTGACCTGGGCGTCCATCTTAAGAGATGAATCCATCTTTACACCCAGGTTAGTCACAATGGTTTTTAGCTTTTGAGAAACAGATGAAAGATCTGGGGTTTGGAATGGGCTAGATCTGACCGGACTAAAAAGGATAAGTTCAGTCTTGGAATCGTTGAGATGCAGGAAATTTGAGGCCAGCCAACATTTCACGTCTCGTAGGCAATCTAGAAGAGGCTGGATTGATTGCTGGGGTTTCACTGACATGTAAATCTGGCAGTCATCAGCATATAAATGATATTGAACGGAATGTTCTTTTAGGATTAAGCTGAGTGGAAGGAGGTAAAGGCAAAACAACAAAGGGCCCAGAATAGACCCCTGCGGGACCCCACACGAGAGAGGAGCAGTGCGAGATGAGCTATTGTTTAGCACTACCCGTTGGGACCTGTCAGACAAATAGGACTTAAACCAAGTTAGGGCTGGACCACGTATTGAAGCAACCTCCTCTAAACGTAATAAAAGGATGTGGTGGTCGACGGTGTCAAAGGCGGCGGACAGATCGAGAAGTAATAACACAGCAAAAGTGCCAGAATCCGTAGCCATAAAAATGTCATTGAAGACACGGAGGAGAGTGGACTCAGTGCTGTGCAGGGGTCGAAAACCCGACTGAAAGATATCCATTATGTTATGATCAGCTAGATGAGTCGATAGCTGATCATAGACCAACTTCTCCAGAATTTTTGCCAGAAACGGAAGCTTGGAAATTGGGCGATAATTTGAAAGAACTGAGGCGTCAGAGCCGGGTTTCTTCAGAATCGGTTGAACCACAGCATGTTTGAAGACAGGGGGTACAACACCGAAACTAAGACTGGTATTGATAAAGTGCTGGATATGATGACCTATTGTTGGGAACACCTCTTTCAGGAGGCGCGGAGGAAGGATGTCGTCTGGGGAACCAGATGGTTTCATCGACAGAAGCAAAGATTGCAGACATAGGGAAATCGGTTGAAAGCTGATGAAGGGTGCTGTATTAAAGGTTAAGGTAGGCAGGGTGTACAGAGGTAGTGATAAGCTAGCCCTGATAGAGGAAACCTTATCAGAAAAGAAATCAAGAAACTGATCGGGGAGATTTGGTGCAATAACTGAAGAGTTGGACTCACAAGGAACGAGAACTGAATTAATAGTTTTATAAAGAACTTTTTGATTGGACCGGTTTGCAGAAATAATTTTAGAAAAATAGTGGCTTCTGGCATGCATAACTGCTTGTTGATATTTGGACCAGAGGTCCTGCAAGATCTGATATGTAATCTGGAGGTGGTCTTTTTTCCATTTGCGCTCAGCCTGTCTACAAAGTTTTCTCAAACTTCGAGTATGAGAGTTGAGCCAAGGGTCAGATTTATGTTTGGAGTGAGCAGGTTTCAGAGGAGCAACAGAATTTAAAACTGTAAGGCATTTTTCATTAAAAAAAGCGATCAGATCATCCAGACTAAGCTGACTAGGCAGATCAGACACAGAAAAAGCACTGACACTGACGGAGCATGGTTATTAAGAGCTTTATATGTGAGAAGAAGGATCTTAAAATCAATTCTGAATTTAACAGGCAGCCAAAGTAGGGATGCTAAGACAGGAGAGATGTGATCTCTCTTTTTCAAGTATATGGAACTCCACTTATCATATCTGTTGGTAAGCAAAACATCACAAATCATAAACTCTTCTAAACATAAGGGATAAGGGACTTGTGTAAACAAAATGTTGAATATGTAATGTTGGAAGTCACTATGTAGTTCTAAACAAACCAGTGGCCTCATTTATCAAACGTTTGTAGAAACTGTCCTATATTCCGTCCTAAGACCGAAATTTAGAATGTGTGTATGAACAGTCAGAGTGATTTATGAAACATGCGGTGGCCTCTCCTTTGCACGTTCCTTTGCAATCGTCTGATGATAACTCCTCACCCTCATTTACATACAGAAACGCCCTAAATTAACCATATTTGGTCACGTTATGTCCTTAGCACTCTGTCTTACATTCCCTATTTTTTCCCCCCGAAAAAATTAAAACTTTATTGACAGCAAGATCGAAACACTGGCTATTGAAGTACAAAAGACCTAAACAAGTTGCAGAGATTATAAACACAGCTGGGACAGAGGAGAGGTTCCTCTCAGAAATAAGTTAAAAAAAATTATGCGATAAATCATTAAGCAGTTGTTCTGTGTGGAGTTAGTTTTATTTGGATATGTTGTCTGAGAGCGCATCTAGTATTGCGCTTCCCCATTCTGCCTGTAGATGCTGTGCGAACACACGGTCAGAGATGTTCTTACATTTAGGAATGTTTCTACGCACAAGTACAAAATGATAAATACCACACAATGCTTAGAATTGTTCCTACACACAAAATACGCACAGATATGTGCGTAAGGACATTTGATGAATGAGGCCCCAGGAGTCATAAGAGAAGCAAAAGATTTAGCTAGGTATGTGCGTATGTGTACAACTCCAACTATGGTCTTTGATGAAGAAAACTAACTTTCTCACCTCTGGAGTTTCACAGCTGATAGTCTTCTTCACCACTGGGACTTCCTGAAACAAAAGCAAACATAATTTATGCCATCAATTCCAAACAAGATGTTTGAACAATCAGATGACCAAACATCATGGGCAATAGGGGCAGCGGTCAAATAGCAGAGGTCACCATAGCAGAGATCACTGGGCAAAGGTCACAGGAGACAGAGGTCACTAGGCAGAGGTCACCGGGAAGAGATGACAGAAGGCAGAGGTCACAGAAAACAAGAGGTCAAAGCAGTGGGAAGTCAACGGGCAGAACTTATTGGGGTAGATTTTGTGTAGCATTACCTCCTCTTGAGCTTCAGAGTCATAATTGTCATCTTCTTTGTAGATAGGTGATGTAATCAGATTAGTTTTGAGTCTGAATGTGTGTGGGGGGGGAAATGGAGGGGACTTTTCCTCAAATCTCCACCCTCTTTCATCCTGCAGGCCGTGAGATGCCTTGTTGTCCTGGTATTGCTGGGGTCTGCAGTACCTTGTAGCCTCTGTTCCAGCCATTTGATTCTCAAAGCTAATTAAAAGATTAGCCTTGCTGCTATCATCAGTCTGTGTGATTGCTTTATGAACAGCTTCATCAATTTCTGCTTGTGCCAACATACTGAAAACATCTTCACTGGTTTCGCTTGCTTCACCATCACTTTCACTATGATACTGACTGCTAGGATCATCATCATTATCATGTCTACATGCTGGACTATTAGCGCTGTTCACATCTGAAGCATTGCTAATGCCATTATCACTGACCTGCTGCTCTTTGACATCGTCATAGTGCATTAAGCCAACTTCTGGTAAAAGAGGTGGGGAGTTTATTGGGGATGGGTCAACAAAACTAGTTGCTACCTTGGGCAGATCAGCTATTTGCTGATCCTTATCACAAGATTCTGTCAGAAAAGAGACCATCTCCACCGTCTCCAAAGCCTGAAAGAGAAATAAAATGATAATGAAGTGAACCTTTTTTCAAAGTTAATTTTGTGTATGTGTGTGTGCAAAATTTTCACATTTTGGTACACACACACACACGCGCGCACACACACACACACACACATCTATATATATATATATGTGTGTGTGTGTGTGTGTGTGTGTGTGTGTGTGTGTGTGTGTGTCCCACATGCCATCAAAATATACAACTCTTCAACAGGTGGGAGAGGGACAGGTAACATGAGGTAGGAGGTGAACAGGATTCAGTACAGATCACACTATGGTGGGAGCTAATGAGGTTCTCAATAAATAAATAAAAATAAATAAATAAATACAATTTCAAATGGTTGTAGTATTGCCGTTATGTTGTTGTACTGCTGTTGGCCAAGCTGCTTCTTGGCATGTTTGTTTTGTCGACGCTGCTTTTCTTGTCATGGCTTCGTAACATCTGTGCTTTGATCTTTGTAGAAGCTCATTTGTCGAAGTGCTTCTGCCACTGGAAATGGAAATCCCCAGTGGATTTTCCCGCAGGATCAATAAAGTTTTATATATATATATATATATATAAATAATGAGCACACCCCAATTATTGTCTTAGGAGAAAAGCCACAATTAAAAATACAAAATTCTAATAAACAGGCATTCAACCACAGGTGAATCAATGATTCATTTAAGAGGTGTCCAGCAGATAGGTGACTATAAAAGGGCATTACATTACATTATTAACAAAGAAAAGCCCTTTTCATTTCATGATGTCAGCAACGGCTCAACACAGAAGACAAACGTCCCGTGTTTTTGGATTAACAGATGAGGTGGAAAAAGGCAAGCAAACAGCTTATATGAATGAACTATTTAATGATTTATTTCAAGGAAAGCTGGAGTCGAGCCTGAAGTGGAATGGGCGCACCGGATTGGACAAGAGAAGAAAGCGGGTGGAAGAGGGATGGTTGTGCACCTGCAAAAGTTGTCAATGAAGGGGAAGATTATAGAAATGATGAAAAAGGAACGTCTTACAAGTACGAGGAATGAAATTAAAGATTTTTCCGGATCTGACAAGGGAGATGGCAAAGAAACGGGCCGGGTTCTGGGAGATCAGAGCTAAACTGAAGAGCGCAGGAGTGAGACACGGTATGGTCTTTCCAGCTACGCTGATCCTAACTCTTAAAGGAGAGACAAAAAAGTTTCAGGAACGAAGTGAGGCTAAGATGTACTGTAAAGCTGTGATTGAGCCTGAACTTAAGAAATAATGACAACTGATCTCAATTAAATAAGAACTAAAAGGCGTGAAGATGACGTTTCAAGAATTGGACTGAGAGCACTATTGTAGATCTCGCTATGGTTAATATTGTTTGAACCCACATAATGATTTATGTTTGAAAGATGAGGTCATGAGCTGGCAGAACGAAGCAGAAATGTATTTTCATTACAACGTTAAAGATTTTTGTGACTGTGTGTGTGTGTGTGTGTGTGTGTGTGTGTGTGTGTGTGTGTGTGTGTTGGGATAAAGGCTATAATGGAAGCTCAGTGTGAAATCATAAATATAAGAAATTCTAAACGATTCATCGATGGCTGATAACATTTTGTTGCAAAAAGGAGGGTTTAAATTGGCTTATTTGAATGTGTGTAGTTTAAGGAATAAAATAGATGATATTCAAGGTATTGTAGAAAAGTATCATCTACAGGTAATGGCAATAACAGAAACACATTTGGATTTGACAATAAATAGTTCTTTATTAGACATAAATGGATACAGTCTTTTTAGATTGGATAGAATTTTACATGGAGGTGGTGTTGCTTGTTATATTCAAAATCCTATTCCTGTTAAGGTAAGGACAGAATTCACTATTACAGGTGTGGAAGCACTCTGGTTACAGTTACAATTTCCTCATTTGAAATCTGTTTTAGTTGGATGTTGCTACAGACCGCCGGATGCTGCTGGAATGTATCTCCATCAAATAGGTGAAATGTTAGATATGGTTTGTGAAGAAATGAGATTTACATATTAGGGGACTTAAACATAGATTGGAAATTAAGAAATTGCTCAATAAAGAACAAATTACTCTAATTTGCTAATACTTTTGATTTGTCACATGTTGTAAAAGATTTCACAAGAGTGCAGGTTAAAAATAATGGTGAATGCTCTAAAACGAGTATTGATTTAATTTTTACTAATATGGCTGAATTATGTTCTGAGGCAATTTCTGTTCCAGTTGGTTGCAGTGACCATAATTTGGTTGCTATTAAAAGAAAAGTTAAGGTGCCAAAAGGTCAACAATTTATATATAAAAGAATGTTTAAAAACTTTAAAGAGAGTGATTTTGTAAAAGAAATAAGAAACATAGATTGGAAAGATGGAACAAAGGAGAAGGATCCAGGAAAGGCTGTAGAGATCTTTGACAATTTGTTAACAAAGGTGATAAATAAACATGCACCGATGAGGAAACAGGCAGTAAGAAATGTAGCTTCTCCATGGCTGGATACAGAACTTCAGGAACGTATGAGTAGGGATGAGCGAGTACACCACTATCTGTATCTGTGTCTGTTCAACCAACAAAATTATCTGTATCTGTAGCTGTACTCGGAAGTGGGCGCGGCATAACCCGGAAGTGGGCGTGGTTTACATCAATATATTATTTTAAGTCTGAAATATATATGGAATGATCGGAAGTTGCTATGTGTATTGTTTATTTGAAAACTATTTACAGAGCAGCCTCAGAATTGAGATTAAATATTTTTGATCACAACAGTAAAGGAACTATTTCAGAACAGGTTTTTCTATAAAATCAGAACATTAATACCGTAAATCCTCTAATACAGGCCGGTATTCAATTAAAGGCCGGGTCTCCAATTTTGGCCGGTGTCGGAGTCAGCGGAGGTAAATAATGGCCGGTCTCGTATTGTGGCCGGGTGGAATGTGGTGACAAGCAAGTATGAGCGTCCCAGCGGCAGGGTTATAGTCCCCAAATCAACCAGCAGGAGGCAGTAGAGGTTCACACAGCCCTTTATTAGGCTTTTTCTTCAATGTTTAGTAACGCTACAGACACGATCCTCTATCACGCTCCTACCACACAGAGTCACGGTGTCAGTTAACCATGCTAATTCAACCCCTCCACAGAATACACATCACCTTCCCTGTGGCTTACATAACACTCACACAACACGCAAATCAGCACATAGGAACTAGCAGAACGATAGGAAACACATATAACACAATACCCAGAATGCACCTGGCTTACAACCCCAGCCAGGTCATTACACTATCAAGTTCAAAGAGAACGTGCTGATTATGCTGCAGAACACTCTGGAGAGCAGCAGTAGGGGGTGTATGAACTAGTCAACTTCACCATACAGTAATCCCTCGCTACTTCGCGGTTCGTTCATCGCGGATTCGCTGCTTCGCAGATTTTTTCTTTGGAGCATTTTTCAGGGGGAATTCGCAGATTCGCGGTATTTTTCACTGATTCGCGGTATTTTTCTATGCGAAATATCAAGAAATTCTTGTTTTTTTCATCAATTTCATCATAAAATGCACTTTTTGTAATAAAACTAAAAAAACCAAGTAAAAAAAATTTTTTTTCTTGAGTTTTACCCACAAAAAGAGAATGTGATCATACGATAATTCAATAGGGAGCGTGGTTTCACAGAAGCGGAAGTGAGAGCGTCGGTGAAACGCCGGCTGATCTAGGAAACCCCCGAGCGTTCGAGCATCAACGAAGTGACACGGAAATGCCGGGCTTTCCAGAAGTAAGTAAGATAACTTACTATGATTGTTCGTTGGATTGATTGGTAGGTTGGAAACTCTGATCATGAATCTGAAGAAACGATGACTGAGTGGTGAGCTGGAAAGGCGACTTCCGTTTATAGCCGCGGTTTGTGACGTAGGTGCAACGTGAAGGGAATCCCCGCGAGGGGCATGCTGGGAGTCCCTACTTCGCGGATTTTCACCTATCGCGGCCAGGTCTGGAACGCATCTACCGCAATTTCGAGGGATTACTGTAGTGACTTGTTATGCCTGTCATCGACTAGTCGCTGTCACGTGATAATGACCGGCAAGATGCAGCCCTCGGAAAAGACAGCAGCCTGTCAGCAGGTGACAAGCTCCTGCGCTCGGGGGGTGGGGGGGTGGGGTGGCCGGGGGGGGGGGGGGGGGGGGGGGCTTTGGCAACGCGCTGTGCCAGACCGTAGGTACTGACACGCGATCGTTCATGTCGGTTCATTTCCTTTAATGTTTTCTGTCTTTTATTTGCGCCTGATGTGTATCGCTGCTGTGGAGCGGGGCACATCAACTTGTCCTCCGACGCACAGATCACTGATGCGGCCGGGAAGCAGGGAGCGCTCCGCTGTTTTCGCGGTCGGTAGATCTGCCTCCTGAGCACAGCCACAGTAACAATCAGGTGTCGCCACCTCAAAAACTAATTTAACACGCGATCGTTCATGTCAGTTCATTTCCTTTAATGTTTTCTGTCTTTTATTTGCGCCTGATGCGTTTCGCTGCTGTGGAGCGGGGCGCTGCGCGCATCACCTTGTCCTCCGACGCACTGATCACTTATACGGCCGCCAAACAGCGAGCGCTCCGCTGTTTTTGCGGTCGGTAGATCTTTTAAAACTGCAGTTCAAAGGTAACTCATGAGGTGAATATATATGAACCCAGGTAGCAGTTTTTCTTTAGGATTGAGAGGAGATGCAGGAAGATAATAAACAGGCAGGACAGAAAAATAGTCAAATAAAAACAAGTTAGTTTTTGTACCTGCTGGTTGCAACAAACAGACACCATTGAAGGTAATCAGAAGTGAGGAACAGAAAATGAAATAATTATTTTAATGTTTAGAGCAGCAGGAACTCCAAGAGGCTGCAGGCGCATCAGTGAGTTTGCGGCTGCTGCGCAGGGGGAGGGGGGAGAGGACTGAAGCAGAAACTACCGTTGTTAAAATAAATGTGTTTAACTTTGAAAATGTGGGCGCAATTTTAATTGTCAAAAACTCCAGCGAACCATTAGT